TAGGGTCTTCTTCGTCTTCCGGCGAAACAATTTCTTCGGACTAGGTAACGTTAGCTGTGTGAGACACGCACACGCGCAGCACTACTTACCAAAGGCTTCTTTTTGGGCTTTCGATTTGACGATTTGCGCCGACCATTGACCGTGATGACTGGCGCTGATGGTGTCGTGGCCTCAGCCGTAGGTGTATCTGCCTCTACATCCTCATTTTCGTCTGATGCCACGATTTCCTGAGACTAGGCCCATCAGCGACTGCAAGAAGCGAGACATGAAATATTAAACTTACCAAATACTTCTTGCGTGATTTTCTCCTCTTCTTACTAGACGGACTGAGATCTTCCGACTGCGCTGTCCCAGATGGTGTTGCTGATCCCACCGAACGCGACAAGCCATTACCGTTTGCTTTCAGTGTCTTCTTGGGCTCGCGTGCCGGTTGACCACGCGCAGTGCGAGAACGAGCATCAATTTTGGGTTGCTCGATTTCTTCATCCTGCCCATTGTCAGTAAAAGGCAGGCGTCTCCAAAAATAACTTGCAAACTTACGGTGGAGTCGGACTCTTCCCAAATATGCAAAGCGGCGTAGTACAGAGACAAGCCCTTTCCAGGTTGAGGACTTTTCCACTCGTCGTAGGAGATATGTTCGGAAGGATGCTCTTTTTGCCATATCTTGAACTCGCCGCTACCGTGTCTTGCGTGCCATTTTGGACGCGAGGATACTTGAGATGGATTGTCGGCGGACATGTCGCCTGCTGGCGCATGACCGTTGGGAGCCATGTTGCTGCTGCAAGTCTTGTACAAACAGAGAACGAAAAGCAGGCCACATCAATTGCTAGAAAAGCAATGAAAAAGTGTGGCCGCGAGATGGAAAATGTAGACCAAAAGGAATGCGAAGTCAGATTATAGAGAGACTCCAATTAGCCGTCGTGCAGCGAGTCGCGCACGAGTTGTGGTTGGTTGTTGGGATGAAGAAAGTGGAAGAAGAACGACGGTCCAAGTCAGTAATCGATCCACCTTGTTTCGCGTCGTGGCACCCAGCCAAAGTGCGCAACAACTGATATCTGCAGCTGAGAGAATCGAGCGCTGAGTATTGACAGCAATATTAAGTGGACATCGATCGATATCAACAGACTTTAGAATGGTATTGGTAGAGAGGTAGTGGAATGGAGGGTTCGGGCAAGGGAAAAGACTGCGCTAAAAGCATCCAATTTCCAGCTCGGCTAGTTCTGGAACCAGGTATCACTCTCACAGTAACGTCATGCATTACATTGTTGGACGAGTCGATAAAAGATTATGGTCTGTCTCAATTTTGCCGTTGAGAAAACATCTGCTCAATTGCGATGGTTCCTGATGAGTGCGACAGGTTGCTCTACTCACGTCACGTCGATCTGATGCGACCACCGTTAGGCAGTGCCCAGAGACGTCACTTCATACTTTCGGACAGCATCGCCGTCAAGCACAGTTTTAAGCATCCTTTTGACTGTTCACGAGGAAGCAACCAATTTCGTGTTGCGTATTGCGACAAGTCGCTTGAATTCTGGTCGACGGCGTCCTTGTCTGACTGAAGCTGCTCTACTACAGTGGCATGTTTGTCCAGCTGTTGTTGTACTGCCAATTTCACGTATAGATTCGACATGGCCGTCACCTTCGTGTGCCTCTCTCGCTCACAAGTAAGAGTCCCTTTGAGTTTGATGAGATGACAGTGATCAGCCGGAGTTCACCGCTTCACCGTGCTCACTTTGCCACAATGTTTCGTAGATAGCTGCACTTTGAACTCATCACATGAGATACGCGTAGACTTCTTTTTATCATCGATGTTTTGCATTGTATCACTATAACTACCTGAATGTTGTAGTCATCCCTTAATGACGCGCTGTCCATATATACAAAGAGGAAGCACGAAGCCAGTCTTGACAAAAATCATAGTCGCAATGTACGGCCGGTACGCACGCGAAGACGAAGGAACCGATGCAATGGGTATAAACCACCGCCAATCCAATATGAAAACAGTGATGCGACTACCAAATGGTATCATGCGAAAAACGCCGAAGCCTGCATGTCCGTCCAAAGCAGTGTCCTTGCTCGCACCGAAAAAAAGCCCTGTCCAGGCGCTGAGTGTGAAAAGATGGGGAACTGATTAAACAAAAACTGTGAAGTAGAGTCATAGTGACGTTCCGCGACTTATGCTCGAAACAAAATGAAGTGAAATAAAACTTTCGGGCGGCTCTCATTGGTGGAGTTCGCAGGAAACCATCCATGGTTTACCGAATGCTCGCCTAGAACGATTCGGGTGGGCTCGGCATGCCGTGCGCGCTGGCATCATCCTTCTCTGGATCCAGCATATTTGAGTTCTCTTTCTGTGAAGGTTCAAGTTTTAGCTTGCCAATTGGCTTGCCTATGCCTCTGACGAGATTACCGTCATGGCCGGTGTCGCCCTTCTCTTCTTCCAGCTTGCGCTTCTTGCGGGCCATCTGCTGTTGTTCCCTCAATGGACGTTTGCGTGGACTGGAGATCTTGCCTGTAGGAGGCAGACGGGGCTTAGGGAAGCGTTGTTTCAGTGGTAGATCATCATCTTCAACCAGAGGCTGACTATCATTCGCGTGTAGCTTGCTGAAAAGCCAGCTCTGAATAAGACCAATTTGGCTTTCAACGCTCTCAATGGTGACAGGCTCGAACTTCGGTGGCTCAGGCATGACGACGCCCGCGGTAGAGGCATTACTGAAGAAATTAGCATTTACACGGGTGTCAATGAAAAGGGATACGTACTTGTTGTCTTGCCTTGCATAGGCACTGTGCACCCTGTTTTGTAACAAGTGCAAAGGCACACTGAAGGTGAGACCAAATTCTCTGTCCAGACCGAGCTCCTTGAAGCCGAAGAAGTCTTCTCCAATGTCTTCGGCAAAGTCACCTCCGACAAATTGCTCGCTGCCGTCGTTGAACGCGCCAGCTCCATCTTGGCCAGCGTTGTCAAGGGCCGGACGTAGCAGCTCAGCATAGTAAGATCGCATGCGGTCGTGCATGCCCGATAGTTTGGTGCCCAATCGTTCGACATCGTCCTTGACATATGTCTCCAAGGTCTCTAGATCCACGCCGTTTGCATGGAGAGCATGTAAGACTGCCTCTTCTTGAGTAAAGCGAGGTGCCCAGTTGGTCATCTTTCCACTTGGTAGTGTAATGGGAACGTCAGACTTCATCTTTGGCGTCTCTCGGTAGATCCCTAGACTGGCGACCAGATTCTGGAAGAACTTTGCCGCAATGTCGGTCACTGCGTCGAGGGCAGAAGGTTGGAACTCCTCGAAACCCGCGTGATAGAAGATCTTGCCAACGCTGCGCTGAAGAGCAGCACGGCAAACCATAGGTGCCATCAGAGCGCCCTCCTCGGATACGACCATGGGATCAATGTCTGTCTCCATGAATGGCTGTGGCTCATAGCGCTGGAACTGATTTTGATACAGCTGCGACTGAAGCTGCATCTGCTTGACGATTCCGATCTTAGCGCAAATCTTCCGGGTGTCTTGCAGTGATTGCATGTTCGCCTGCATCTTCTTCGCCAGTCCACTGTCTGGGGCAGTGAACTGGCCTTGAGGAAATATCCGCATGTACTCCTCGAACTGCTGCACTACTTGACCATCTGCATCTTTTACCCACTGTAGCCGCTCATTAAGATCCGGTATGGTACAAACGGCATCGTAATAATCCGGTATTTGACGCTCGTCTTCGCCTTCGATTCCTTCCGCGAGGGATTCCTTGGCCGTTGCTTGGAACACCATCCTTGCCGTCTAGGGATTGAAGTTAGGCCCCAGCTGATGCTTCTTCTTCGATAGCTTGCTTGCGGTGTCGCAAGCCAGCGGCGCATCCCCGCTTTCGTTCGTAGGATAGCAAGGTTCTTCTGGCTGAAGTTTGTCATCGCGAAACAAGCGATGTCTCTCGGCTGCAATCGTCGCTCGATCTTTCTTGGTGACCTGCTTCCATGTTTTGTATTCCAGGTCGTCAAGATCAGCCTCTTCTTCTAGCGCGAATCCGTTCACAGAAGCACTTGTGCCATCTATTTCCGAAAGGTCCGCTTGACTGCCATGCACGCCATTTCTGGAAGCACCATTTTAGGCCGAGGGGAGTGAGTGTTCCCGGGGGCGGTGGTGTTGAAAAACCGTTGACACTACCCTCCATCTCGGAGTCTGCACGCAGAAATTTCGTTCTTCAAATTGGAGACCGCGCTGTTTAACGATGGCACGGAGGGCTTGGTCTCAGGGCCAGGTGTACCTTCCAGACCAGCTGGCGGTGCCTTCCTGGCGTTGCTAGATCCCTTACCACCTTTACTTGGTGCCTTCCGGCCACGCGAAGCCATGATAGGCTCTTCTATTTGTACTGTTAGCAGAGTGGGTATTTCCGAAGATGTCCATGCGTACCATCTTCGCTGTCTTCAGCGCCATCCGCGTCAACGTCCCCATTGCGCATCCTTCGCTCCTCAGCCTCAACTTCAGCGCGGTCACGAATGGTGATATCCGGAATGAGTGGCCACAAGTTTCTCGGTTTCCCTCTTCATGTGTAGGGCTTTCTTCCTAAGAAAGTGGCTTGGGTCGGCGTTATATTTCAGACAGTTGGACCAAGATTAGCATGAGGTCATCCACAAACTCCTTCTTCGACTTGTATTGTAGCTGCTTGAGCTTCTTCATCATGGTGCCAATGTCCATTGGTTGCTTGATGACGTTGTAGTAGTCCGGCGCTTCACGCTTGTTGACGCGTTGCAGGAAGGGGTGCGCGTGTTCGCCGGCTTTGAGCTCCATAAGTACCTTCTCAACGCTCTCGTATAGCTCTTCCTGGCCGACGCGGTCTTCGTTGGCCCATTTACTCCTGTTCTTCCGCACTTCGCTTATCAAACTTCTCAGCTGGGCATCCGTCGCATGTACCCTGTCGCGTTGGGCATCGATTCGAGATATGAGGTGTTTGAGGGTCAGACTCGATGCGCCGAGGTTTGTGGTGCTCAGGGTGCCTTGTTGAGGGGCAGCAACGGCGCCGCTGGTGGGAGCGTTGTTGGACGGTCCCGATGTTTCTATTTCTACTTGCCTGGTCAAGTTCGTCGAGTTTCTGCTGCTCTAGCATGGCATCGCGATCGCTCTCCAATGTGTAGAACAGCGTGTTGAAACTCCGCTTCGCAGCATCCTCGGCTGCCTTCTTGACCTGCTGCAGCTTCTTGCGCACATCGTCGGAGGTCTTTGTCTGCTCTGACGATGGAGTGCTCGTCCGTTCGGTGCCCATTCGATTTGGTACTGATGGTTTGCGAATGCTTGGCGTGCCAAGGGCGGTGGCAGCAATGCCATTAGGGGCGCTTCTCGAGAGCAGCGGCGAAGTGCGTGTATCATCCTCTTCTTCGTCATCGTCATCGTCGCCGTAGTCGTCTTCGTCAATTGCGCGGGCGGCCTTCTTAGGTGTAACGGTCGGGAGCGCGTCATGCGCCGCCGGAGCATCATCGGACGACGGCTTTGGCCCATTGTCCAGCGCATCAAGAAGATCATCGCCGCGTGCGCCTCCAAGCAACGCACTCAGGCGCGCTTCGGTGCGCAAGTATTGGTCGTGCCATCGTGCTGCCCTGGGGTCCTCTTCGGCGGTGGTGTCGGCCCCCTCCCCCAGGTTGTTCGCGTTGGAGCCGTTGGACATTGCTTCATCGCTCAGCGTCGCATTGGGTGTGCGCAAGCGCATCGGGTTGGGCGGTTGGTGGAGGAAGCGGGCATGGCTCGGTCTTTCGCGGGACGATGGACGATGTGTTGATGCAGCGAGCGACATGTTCGTCGCTGGCTGTGGGGTGGTGCTTGGCAGTGGCCTCACAGCATGGAAGGAGTGCCTTCAGGGCCGCTTGCAACCGCGTGCAGGAGTCGCGACGCGCTGAAAGCAAGCATGGAAGGGGCCCTGCGGCGGATGAGAGGTATAAAGATGACTAAGTGATGGAAAGTGATGGTTTGACGCGTGCCTCGATGGCCGAATGTACAGCCGTTTCGCGATGAGGAGAAGCACGACGTTGGCTTTGGGGTCCGTAGGCATTCCAGAACAGCTTAGCGCTTCCCCGTTAGTGTCCCTGGGAACCATCAGCGGATCCCCCAATATCAAAACGGTTCTCACCTGAACGATGGAAGTAGATGAGTATTTTCGCCACTGCATTCGTGTGTCGTGCAACAGTCGCGTACTGCAAGTCCAGATATTTTCGTAGAATATTCGGATTCGCGGCTGCTGTGGGTTTGCATGTGCCGGTCTCTCCTAACCGTGCAACACTCGAGTCGTAGTGCTCGCTTACTGCGACGCTTCTCGAGAATGCGACTGCTCACCTTTAGAGGTGATAGGCCACGAGGACATCTTGGGCATGCCTCAACTTTACATACGAATCTGCAAAGCTGCTTCCGAATTTTTGCGGGCTACATAATTACCCCAAAATATCATATAGCATACCGTCCAGCTTCTACACGGGCACTGCGACAGCGCCTTGTGCTCCCCAAGCACCGTTTCGACGTCGCTATTGGAGCCCTGCCCCAAACCGACAAGTAGAAAAAGCGTACCTGCATACCCCGAACACCCACAAAGCGGGTGTGGGCGGCGATCATGATCCATGTCCAGGGTCTTTTTGACACGTGACATGCCAGCCAACCCCGGCGTCGGGTGCGTACGTAGCGCAGTGCCAGCTGGAGCTCCGCATTGAAGGCAACGTTACCTAGCCACAACCTCGCCCACTCACTGCAACAGGCTGCGGAGCTTAATAATGCCAAACAATCGATTATAGCATTACGCCAAGTTTCAAAATGCGGTTCCGAAAACCCTTTGCTGGTGAGTCCTTACATGTACCTTCGTCTGGCTGCGTCATACCAAGGGCCTGGCTTGCTTCACGGGAGCTGCCTGAGGTGTACATTCGGCTACCAGAGATGCATTGGACTACGGTCTTGACCTTGAGCTAACGCTGCCAGCTGCCTTCGTCCTCCTCATCTTCATCTCCGCTGCTGCCGGCTTCACACCGCCCGACTACACCATTCCCACATACAAGCAATCCGACAAAGTACTGCACTTTATAGCTTTCTTCCTTCTCACCCTCACGTTCTACTGGATTCTTGAGACTTCGCGGCGCAAGGTCTTGCAGCTCACATTTACTGTGTGCACGCTTGGTTTAGGATGTGTTAGCGAAGTGGTGCAGGGACTACTGCCAGTAAGTGCCCTGTTACTGTGACTTTCTGACAAGTACTCATGCATGCACAGATTCATCGCGACTTTGACTACTATGACGTCCTTGCCAATGTCCTTGGCTCAGTGAGCGCCCTTGCGCTTTGTAATTGGTACCACAAACGCATGTTGGAGCGCAAGCGTGCTGCACGCGGATATGGAGCTGTGCCGGGAGACGACGACTTGGATGTTGAGCTTGGAGAGAACACTGAGGCACAGGAGACAGGCGTGGTTCGACCAACGGTGGACGAAGAGCTAGAGCGCTGGGACGAGAACGCGGAAGACTGGGAGACCACCGAGCCGGAGCCAGTCAATGGCAAGATGCAAGCCGATGATGGAGATCTGGGCGATGGGAAGAAGCGCAACGATTGAGAACATGTCAAGTACGATGTCCACGAAAAGTTACGAATCGCTGGGATAGCATTGGCTAGTTGCGGTCTGATTAATCGGCCGTTATGACTTCACTGCACGGGACAGGCATGGTGCAGATCGACTTGATATTCATTACAAGCTCATAGCTAGCTCTTGGTGCTCATCGCGGCCCATGCGAGCAAGCCTGCAACCGTTGAAATCATCACTCTGGCCTGCCCTATCTTCCATGGATTCATGCATTTTCCAGTATGAGATTCCGTGAACCGTAAAACCACACCAAGCGCCGAGATCATGCCTTTCCCACAACCTTCATTCTTCGCTTATGCGGTGGTGGTCTTAGCAGCCGCCTGGTTGGGGTTGATCTTCTTTCCGTCCTTGTTGTACCTGACACGTGGGGGAGGGGCACGGTTGCGGCGGCCCTCACGGGATCGGACACTGCAAGTTGTTAGGATCCGGGTCTTCACTCTGGTCGATTGAGTTCCTCCACATACCGAACGATCTTTCCGTGGATAGCGCACGAGACGCAGTACTGGAGCTTCAAGTACATCTTGGGGACAGTGTACTCGGGGAAGACGGAGGCGTCAGAGATATCACCTGTCCAGAGTGTCAGTCCAATTCCTCCTGCTTGTGCTGGTGCGCCTCTCTCGATATTCAAGGGTCGGGCTGGGGAAACGTACGGATGGCGGCAGACTCGACCATGTTGCGGATGGTGAATCTCTTGATCGCCTTGTCCTTGGGTGTGCATCGCGAGCAGTTGGAGCAGCGGATGGGCTTGACGTGGCCTCGACCCTTCTTGTTACGGCCGCTGTGGTGTTGTTAGTCGTGGTTGTCCTGCCATATTCGCCCTTTCGGTGTTGCATACTTGGACGCTCGCTTCTTGACCATGTTGGGCTGATTCTGATTTTCGGTAAGCGCTGGGTTCGTGTAGCAGAGAGGTCATGGTGCGTACCGAAGATGTGAAATCTAAAAGTCAGCAAATGGGGTTGTCGTGGAGTTGTCGTTCGAGTTGTCAAGGTCGGTGGTGTGCGTCAATATTCGCTTGTGGGAGGAGCGCCCGAGCTCACTGACAGGGATCCGCATCTAATCTAATCAATCGCTCCACCCACCAAAGGCATGCTTGAGCCTCCGCCGCGCCTACACAGGCCCGATAGAAATCATGTTGATAAGTTCTCCTCTTCTTGTCGAGTTAGAAAGTCTAGTAGATGTCGAAATATTTTACAGTTGCGTTGAGCACCTCTATCCAGCTGCATACGTTCTCAGAGTACAGCAAAAGCAAACTCCACATGGTTGTGCATACAGACACAACATGGAAATGACAATAAGAAAGATGAGCCTTTTCCAGTCCTACTCCTTCCTTATCCCTAGGTGATAGTGTAAGGGTTAGCATTCTTCGCTGTCGCGGCTGTGTTGCAGCTTGAAGCATTATTGCTGCTGCACCCGCTGGCGCTAGAGTCACCGCTTCTTGACATCGTGCACAACTATTTCGAGATCCGGAGTGCGTTGGCATGCAGACCTAGTGAAAACCCCAGGCGCAAAAGTTATCTGTGACTTTGTACCTTCACATCCCAGTCACACCGGCTTGCCATCATCAGGTCAGCCTTGTGATCACTTGCCTCGGCGCTTGCCATTGTGAGCCGCGTTGTTTTTGTCCACCCTAGCAACGCAGCTTTCCACATCGCCGCGAACGCTGCTCAGACCATCTCGACTGGCCCCTCACCCGCCAACCGGAGCATCCGTCTCGCCAGTCAACCACCATATCCGCAATCATGTCGCATACCGGTACTATGCGTGGCACGCCCAAGGCGAACCGTAATCAAGCTGCTGCCGGAGCGCAGTTCAACAACAGCCCCTCCAACATCCCGCGACCCGCACTCGACACCCATGCTTCACATGTAGCACAAAGCGAAGCCGGTGGCTCGACTCTCAGCGCCAGCCGGGCGAAGATGTCGAAGCGAGACGAGGTTGGTGGTCTATCATAACATGCATTTGTCTATCATGTGCTCATCAGTGAATAGGCGATCCGACGCAAGATCGAAACCGACTTGAACAAGAAGAAGACGCCCGGAAGTCGTGCACGGCTATCAAAGAAAGCTCCTCCGGGTACTGTTCTCGCCCTCAAGCCAAGCCCCGCCCTTCAGATCAAGCCGTCCACGACCGTCGCCGAAGCTGCCCAGCTCATGGCAGCGAAGAGGGAAGACTGTGTACTGGTCACAGATGACGATGATCGCATTGCCGGTATCTTCACAGCCAAGGATCTGGCTTTCAGGGTTGTAGGAGCTGGCATCAAAGCACGGGACGTCACTATTGAAGAGATTATGACCAAGAACCCGCTTTGCGCAAAGACCGACACCAGCGCTACGGATGCTTTGGATCTCATGGTCCGGAAGGGCTTCCGTCATTTGCCCGTAATGGACGAGAACCACGACATATCGGGCATATTGGATATCACAAAGTGTTTCTATGATGCCATGGAGAAGCTGGAGCGCGCATACAGCTCGTCTCGGAAGCTATACGATGCATTGGAGGGTGTGCAGGCAGAGATGGGCTCGAGCCAACCGCAACAGATCATCCAGTACGTTGAAGCCATTCGACAGAAAATGTCTGGCCCTACCTTGGAGTCCGTCTTGAACGGACTGCCACCAGTGACCGTATCTGTCCGCACATCGGTGAAAGAGGCAGCTTCGCTCATGAAGGAGAACCACACGACGGCCGTTCTTGTCCAAGACCAAGGATCCATCACTGGTATCTTTACCAGCAAAGATGTCGTTCTTCGCGTCATCGCTGCTGGCCTCGATCCTGCCACATGCAGCGTGGTCCGCGTTATGACCCCTCATCCCGACTTTGCGCCCATGGACATGAGCATACAGTCTGCTCTCCGCAAGATGCATGGTGTGTGACAACACAATGTCTTCTAAAACAACAACCGCTGACTCTGCATAGATGGTCATTACCTCAATCTGCCTGTAATGAGCGACGCAGGCGAGATTGTTGGTATGGTAGACGTTCTCAAACTGACTTATGCTACGCTAGATCAGGTATGTTCTCCCTAACGCATGCCCCAGGGAATACACTAACTTGTGCAGATCAACAACATCAGCACAGGAGATAGCGAAGGCCCAGCTTGGAACAAGTTCTGGCTGTCTCTGGACGCCGAGACCGAATCGATGATGTCCGGAGAGGGTGGCAGCCGCCTGCCAGACCACCGATCGGTGATGTCCCACGATAACCGTCCTGGTATTCACGACCGAGGGGACAGTGTCCTTCCTAATGACTCGGCATCCCACCACGGGGGAGACTCGCCATCCCAGTCTGGCATCGGTGGACGCCACACTCCGATCGAGGATCTGCCGTTCCCGTTCAAGTTCAAGGCACCCAGTGGACGTGTACATCGCTTGCAGGTGACTGCATCTGCTGGTATTGAGGAACTCATTGCAAATGTAGCCAGCAAGCTGGGTTCTGAAGTCGAGGCCATAGGAGGCACCCCAACATTCGAATTTGGCAAGATTTCTCTGTCCGGATTTGCTTTGAGCTATCTCGACAACGAGGGCGACACGGTTTCGATCACCACAAATGACGATCTTGTGGAGGCAATCAGCCTCTCGCGTCTTGCTCACCGTGAAAAGGTTGACCTTTTCGTTCACGATCCAGAGAAGCCGCCCATGGTCGCCGAGGTCAACCCACAGCCTGCGCTCGCCAAACCTGTGACCCCGCCAGAATCTGTTCTCCGGGACCGCAAGAAGTACTTCCAGGAGGAAGAGGAAGAGGAGGAGGCCCGACCCAAGTCGAAACGTCAAAATCAACAGCCCGTTCCCTTCGGCCAGCAACCAGAGATCATCCAGGGCGTGCCAAACGACCTGCTTCTGCCTGGTGCCATCGGTGTGCTAGCAGTCGTCATTATTGGTGTGTTCGTGCTTGGCCGTGCAACCAGCAGGTAGTGTAGTCGTTCATCATCTCTTTGGTACTTGGAGTAGGAGCAGATTGTCGCATTGTTAGGCAGCGTTGGTAGTATTATATCCAAGAAGTATGATCTCGTAGCAGTAGATGTGCAATGAAATTGTTTCCACAAGTCGTGCACTTATACAATAGACAGGGTGTGTGCTGGCATGCTCTGGACCGGAGCACAAGGTTTCACAACGGCAAGAGCTCACGGCGCCGTATGGATGTAGGCGGGCCAATAGACGCGCGGGGTGAATGGTAACAACCACGCATCCCTGCGCATTTTTAGCCCCGCCAACCTTCGAAAACATTGGCCCAGTCAATTTTATGCCCCCCAGCTATCACCACGCACGCTATACACACACAAACCTGCAGTCGCCCGAACCTTACATAAGGCTTCTGGTAATCTGCAAGATTTCTTGCGCCCAGTAATCTCCTTCAACACACCCGCGCCAGCGCCCACACATAGACTCAACCCAGCGGTCAAAGTCCCTTACCTGCGAACCAAGTTCCCACCGCCTCACGGGGCCGCTCCCCAACACCACCACACACACACACGCACACACAGTCACCATGTCTGTGCTATCACCCGATGTCCACGCAGATCTTGCGAATCTGCTCCAAGGCCTACAGTCCCCGGACAACGTGCAGCGAACGAACGCGGAGCAGCACTTGAACGAGCAATGGGTCGCTACACGGCCTGAAGTGCTCCTCATGGGGCTTTCGGAGCAGATCGAGCTGGCAGAGTCGACTTCAGTGAGTAGATTGTGTGAAACATAGACTCGCTCATAAACACTCATACCTCGCCAGACTCGGACATTTGCTGCCGTCATCTTCAGGCGCCAATCCTCGAAACCGCGCAAGGCCGCTACAGGCCAGACCCAGGACCTCTTTCTCACCCTCGGAGAGGCCGAGCGAGATGCTATCCGCGCAAAGCTGCTTACATGCCTTGCTAAGGAGACCGACAACTCGGTGCGCAGCAAGGTCGGAGATGCCGTCGCCGAGTTGGCGCGGCAACACACAGACGAGAGTAAGACACGACTTGAACAGTAGCACAGAACGTATAGTGACAGGTACAGATGTCGCATGGCCAGAGCTGCTAGGCGCCCTCTTCCAAGCGAGTCAATCGCAGGACCCAAACCAGCGCGAGAACGCCTTCAGGATATTCTCGACCACCCCGCAGATCATCGAAAAGCAGCACGAGGATGTCGTGGTTACCGCCTTCAAGGGCGGCTTCGCGGACAGCGAGACAGCCGTATGTTGCCCTGCTACAACTCCGGCCAGTAAGACTGACAACTTCCTCAGGTACGAATTGCTGCCGTAGAAGCATTTGCGTCCTTCTTCCGCTCCATCACCAAGAAGACGCAATCCAACTACTACACACTGATCCCAGAGATTCTCAACATCCTACCCCCGATCAAGGACTCTGGCGATGCCGATCTGCTCACCAAGGCCCTCATCTCGCTGATCGACCTCGCCGAAGTTGCGCCCAAGATGTTCAAGCCTCTGTTCAACAGCCTCGTGCAATTCAGCATTTCCGTGATCCAGGACAAGGAACTTGGGGAGACCGCACGCCAGAACGCACTCGAGCTCATGGCCACATTCGCAGACAATGCGCCTCAAATGTGCAGGAAGGATCCCAACTTCACCAACGACATGGTTACCCAATGTCTGTCGCTCATGACCGACGTTGGAGCTGACGATGACGACGCGGAAGAGTGGAATATCTCTGAGGACCTTGACGAGGAGAGCGATTCGAACCATGTAGCTGGAGAGCAGTGCATGGATCGCTTGGCCAACAAGCTGGGTGGACAAGCCATTTTGCCGCCGACATTCAACTGGTTGCCCCGCATGATGACCTCGTCAGCGTGGCGTGACAGGCACGCTGCACTCATGGCGATTTCAGCCATCTCCGAGGGCTGTCGCGAACTCATGGTGGGCGAGCTCGACAAGGTTTTGGATCTTGTCCTTCCCGCTCTCCGAGACCCGCATCCTCGTGTGCGGTGGGCTGGATGCAATGCTGTTGGCCAAATGAGCACCGACTTTGCCGGAACTATGCAAGAAAAGTACCACCAGGTCGTTTTGCCCAGCATTATTCCAGTCCTTGAGTCCGCGGAGCCTCGTGTTCAGGCACATGCTGCCGCTGCCCTTGTCAACTTCTGCGAAGAGGCCGAGAAGAACATCCTTGAGCCATATCTGGATCAGCTCCTGAACCACTTGCTCATGCTCCTGCAAAGTCCAAAGCGATTTGTGCAAGAGCAGGCACTCTCCACCATCGCCACAGTTGCTGACTCTGCAGAGGCAGCGTTCTCAAAGTACTACGACACCTTAATGCCACTTCTGTTCAATGTTCTGCAGGAAGAACAGTCCAAGGAATACCGCCTGCTGCGAGCAAAGGCAATGGAATGTGCCACTCTCATTGCTCTTGCAGTTGGAAAGGAACGCATGGCCCAAGATGCTCTCAACCTTGTCCAGCTACTCGGACGTATTCAGAACAGTGTTTCAGATTCAGATGACCCACAGGCCTCTTACTTGCTGCACTGCTGGGGTCGAATGTGCCGTGTCCTTGGTCGCGAGTTTGTACCTTTCCTTGCCGGTGTCATTCCACCTTTGACCGAGCTTGCCGGAGCCAAGGCCGACATTCAGCTTCTCGACGACGAGGATCAGGTGGCACAGATCCAGGACGAGGAGGGCTGGGAACTTGTTCCCTTGAAGGGCAAGGTTATCGGTATCAAGACGAGCATTCTCGACGACAAGCACATGGCTATTGAGCTTATCGTCATCTACGCTCAGGTCCTAGAGGATGCTTTTGAGCCATACGTCAACGACATTATGGAGAAGATCGCGCTCCCTGGTCTGGCTTTCTTCTTCCACGACCCCGTCCGTGTCGCATCCGCAAAGTGCGTGCCTGCGCTGCTGAACTCATACAAGAAGGCCCATGGCCCAGAATCACCACAACTTGGTCAATTATGGGGCCGAACCGTTGAGCGCGTGCTCGAGGTGCTCAGCACCGAACCGGCGATCGATACCCTTGCCGAGATGTACCAGTGCTTCTACGAGTGCTTAGAGTGCATTGGCCGGAACTGCCTCACACCTGAACACATGGCTACTTTCATCGAGTCTGCCAAGAGTGTTCTCCAGGATTACCAGGAGCGCGTAAAGGAGCGCCTGGAAGAGCAGGCCGAGAACGATGATGGCGAAGAGGCCTCGGAAGAGATGCTCTTCGCCATTGAGGACGACCAGAACCTGCTCTCGGATATGAACAAGGCTTTCCACACCATCTTCAAGAACATGGGTAGTCCATTCTTGCCCCACTGGGAGCAGATCATGGAGTCCTACACAATGGTTGTCCTCAACAAGCACCCTACTCAGTGTCAATGCGCCATTTGCATCTTTGTCGTCGTAAAGGACTTCAGCGGACCTGCGTTATTGAAGTTCAATGAGCGCATCATCCAGCCACTCATCGACGGCATGCAAGATGATGTCCCAGCCAACCGACAGGCAGCAGTCTACGGTGTAGGTGTAGCAGCACACAAGGGCGGCGAGGCATGGTCAGATTTCGCCGCCGCCTCATTACCGATGTTGTTCCAGGTCGTCCAACGACCAAACGCTCGTGCCGACGACGACGTCTTCGCAACGGAGAATGCATCAGCGGCGATCGCCAAGATCCTCCACCACAACGCCGCAAAGGTACAAAACTGGCAGGAAATTGCCACCGCGTGGGTCGATACCCTGCCCATCACAAACGACGAAGAGGCTACGCCATACGCATATGCTTTCCTCGCACAGCTCATCGAGCAGTATGTCTCCACCCACCCTTCCTCCCCTGTTACTCGCTGACGCCTCACTAGACAAAATCCCGCCGTCTTCTCCCAGCCCGCTAAGGTCTTCACTTTCGTCGTCCAGGCTCTCGAGGCCGAGACCCTCCAAGGCCAAAACGCCACCCGCGTCGTTGCATCTGTCAAGGCGCTCATCCAAGCCACCGGCACCAACCTCGCACAGACGGCTGCGACACTGACGCCCGACCAGCAGCGCACCGCACAGGCGTATTTCAGCTAGAAGCTGGGTGCGCGAGCGAGGAGAGACTCTTCTGCATCGGGCGGCGTTTGCTTTTGGAAGGGATAGGGCTATGAAAGGAGGAACATATTTGGGAGGCGTGAAAATGTAGGTAAGGGCGTGTGCGTGGCGATGGAATTTTTTTTTAGAGTAGTTAGTTACATCACTGATTCCCCCCCTGTTTTCCTGTTTCATCCCTCCCCATCGCAAGAAGGACTGGTTAGGCTCGCGTGGCTAGATAGAATTGCATATTTGCATGGTTTAATTCTCGTTTGTGATGCTGCATGAAATTTATCGCAGCGAATTTGTGCTTGTCGTGTGATATATGAACATGAATCGCTTTGATGTATGTAATGGATATCTCCTGGCCCTACACCTCTCGACGCCCCTACGCACCCTCACTTCCAAACTCCTTCGTCCAATCCGCACTCCGCGTAAGATCCTCTTTACTAACCGTCGGTCTCGACGCCTTGATCGCCTTGACGAAATCCCGCACCTTCAGCGGCGGCTCCAGCAACTGATCGCCATCGAGATCCGTCCACGACTTCTCCTGCGCCTGTGGATCGCCGGGCGAGCATGGGGTCCATTTCGTCACGCCCTCGACCTCCACGGGCTTGTAATGCGTTGCCGTCTGGATGAGCCGCACAGGCTGCATCAGCGCGTCCTGCACTGCGATGGAAATATCCGAACCGGAGTACCCCTCGCTGAGATCCGCCAGCGTGCGGTAGTCCTGCTGGTTGAGTTCGCACGGGGTGTTGCCAACCGCGAGTTCGAACATCTTCATGCGCGCGGGCAGGTCGGGCAAAGAAATGTGTACTCTGCGCTGGAAGCGGCGGCGGATGGCGGAGTCGAGTTGCCAGGGGATGTTTGTTGCGCCGAGGATGAGGACGCCCTTGGAGTCTTTGCCGACACCGTCCATTTGCACGAGGAGCTCGGTTTTGATGCGGCGCGAGGCTTCGGATTCGCCTTCGCCGCGGGGGCCACACAGGGCGTCGATTTCGTCGATGAAGATGATGGAGGGTTTGTTTTTCGCGGGCCATGCCGAAGAAGTTGTTTTACCAACCTGTGTGTGTTAACTATCGCACTTTTTTGTAGGGTGACTCTGTATACCTCTCGGATTCTCCCATCCATTTGCTGACTAGGTCGGAACTTGAGACGCTGAAGAATGTGCTGTTTGCTTCTGTTGCCACGGCCTATTGCGAGATAACTCTTACCGGTACCTGGTGGTCCGTACAGCAGGATACCTTTCCACGGTTGTCGCTTGCCGGTGAAGAGATGCGGGAACTTGATCGGTAATATGACGGCCTCCTTCAGCGCCTCCTTCGCTCCCTCCAGACCTGCGACGTCTTCCCATCGGATGTTTGGCTTCTCGGTAAGGATGGCGCCGGAGAGTGCACCGCGCAGCTTCTTGGAGTCGGCGTCTTGTTCGTCATCGTCGTCCCTAAGTATCCAGTCAGTATTTGGACCCTCTGTTTGGCACGGCTTTGACGCACTTTCCACCCTTGCCACTCCCACCTGACGATTTTCCGTTTGCGCCCATGGCTGAGGGTTTCTTTCGATTTGACTCGTCGTTCGCATTCAGATGTTGTTTGAGCTTCTCCGCGCGCTCCATGTACTCAGCGACCTTGCCCCGAATCATATCCTTGGACTTCTGGTTCTTTTCCCCTGGTGATCATCAGCATGTTTTCTGGGGCTCGCTTGAAGCAATGTGCAGCTAGCATGTGATTGACATACACTTAAGAGCGAGCATGAACAGCTCGACTACACGTTGTTAGCTAATGACCTCAATATCCTTTCCTGTATTACGTACGAGCACTGTAGTACATCTGGTATGCCTTCTCATATTCGCCTGCGGTGTCCGTCTCAATGGCCTTCTTGACCGTTTCGATAGCCCGGCCCAAGAAATCGGCGTTGCTCATTCTCGCGCTTTTGCTGGGCTAAACGCCGCAGCCTAATTCTCCTGTATGTGCTTGGCTCGTGTCACGCGTATGCGATCGAGTGAAGGTCGGGGGTGTAACAGCGGAGGAGCGGTCGGCGCGGGGCAATCGTCGTCGTCGCGTGCTGCCTGGTGTTTGCTATGGCGGGTCTCGGAGTAATTCGGTCTTAATCTGGTCCACTGTCTGGCATAGACAGAACAATCGCAGGCGTATGGTGATCGGCAGGGAGTGGTGTTGATGTGTATCTCTGCCGCGAGGTTGCCATGGGATGCGCTAGAGCCCCGCATTCACCCTAGGCTTAACTGAGATAGCTCGATATGTCATGTCGCGAGCTCCGCGCGACACGAAACTTTTCGCGAATTTGTTACTCAGCAATACGAAAGCCATGGGAGACGTGCAAAAGAAGCTTCAGGAGCTTTCCGACAGCTACCAGACTCTGCAAGCAGGTGAGAAAACTCGTCCGATTGGCAAGCAATCACTGATAGAGGGGCAGAGTTGCAGGGTGCGGTGGATGCCCGCCAGAAGCTCGAATCGCAACAGCAGGAGAACACTACAGTCAAGAAGGTATGGAAAGATGCATAGACTATATCAGGCTATGCTCAGACTTGTTGGACAGGAATTCGATATTCTTGATGATGAGGCGAACATCTACAAGCAAATCGGACCCGTGCTGCTGAAGCAGGACAAGACAGAAGCAGTCATGGCGGTCAACGGTCGCCTGGAGTTCATAGACAAGGAGATGTGAGGATACCACATGACATGGTCAAATTTCAGGTTTGCTGACAAAGAACAGCAAGCGCATTGAGCAACAGATCAAGGGTATTCAAGATAAGGCTGAGACAGTGAAGACGGAGGTATGTCACGCTCGCACCTTCTCTTTTCCAGCAACATTTGTTGAAATTTCTGTAGATCATACAAATCCAATCTGCAGCACAGCAGTCACAACAAGCGGCGGCCGCATAAGCGCAACATATCACGAAATACAAAATAAGATACCCAGAGATACCTCAATGATTTTGGCTTGCTCTTCATGCCGCGCTCAACTGTCATTCTTGAGGTCCACTTCACCGGTGAAAGTGAGCTAATTCATGTCTCACTGCTCCTCGCTTACCACGTACTACTTCTCTTCCATCTCGAGCCCCCATTGCACCTATTCCTCACACCCTTTCGCACACTCTGTTCCAGATTCGCTACGTGGCCCAGCTCGACGCATACAACGGTTCAACCGAGACCATGGAGTAAGTCCAGTACTTGCTTGTCAATGTCAAACTAATCTGTAAGTCCAAGCGACAACATCATGAAGCTGCACACCAAAGACATGGCGTCACCGATTAACGTTCACCAAGGCCTGTTAGGCAAGTCCTCAGAGTTCTTCAAGCGCGCCATGAAGCCGGAATGGGCAAGCTTGAGAGAGGACCCCGATACCATCGATCTCACGGATGAGCTGTCGGGGCCAGTCTTGCTCTATGTCCGCTGGCTGTACTCCGGCGAGCTTCAGGTCGACATACCCGCTTTTCGCAAAGGCGGAGCTGAAGAGAATCGTACAGCGAGCGAACAAGCGTACAAGAAACTGGCCTCAGCATATTTGTTCGGAGAGATGGTTATGGACGTCAGCTTCAAGAATGCAATCATACCAAAGTTCATCGAGACAAAGACTAGATTCAAAATTCCGACACATCCATACATCGTGGACGAGCTGTATTCAGGTACGACTGACAGTTCACCTATTCGCCGCCTGCTTGCCGACATCATTGCTTGTGGATGCGACCCACGCGAGCCAACCTGGGCTGAATACCTCAAGGCGATTCCCCATCAGGCTGTCATTGATAGCATGATGGCACTGGCTGCGCTGCAGGACCCCTTGTTCAAGCCCGTGGCTCTGGCTATGGTCGGGAAATACCTCGAGAAGGACGAGAAATAGGTAAGAACTACTAGCGCACGAACGCAGTACCTGGGTTAATTAAGCAACTTCTAGGTTCCGCGAATGTCAGCGGGAATGTTTCCCACACATGTCTCCCATTCCGGATCTACATGATACAGCAAGGTGGTCTTCTTAGGATGAAGGTAGTAGGGGACGGGGTGAATCTCAAGTGCCTTTACCAAAGGACCAAAGTTTCTACTCAAGGAAGGAAGCTAAAGTGATTGCTTCTCTGTTTCGCAAAGCGCCAGTTGCAATCTCAATAACGTTAGCTTATCCCGTGAAAGATTAGGCTAGTGTCAATCCACTCGCCCTTACTTAGATCGTTTCTCCCTGTTGTGCTCCATCCTTCTCCATTCCTGTCCTTACCAAAGCCCTCAACCATACCTTTGCCCAAGCGCGACAGTCAACTCGCAATGTAATCTTGTCCAGTCGCAGCATCATTCAACGTGCTCTATATGATGTGCCTTAGGACGACGAGTGAGTCTCACCCTCACAAGTGAAAGATTCCCCAACTAGGCTATCATCAATATGTTCGCCGCAGCTTAGATTGCTACTCCCCATTACTACCCATCTACCCCTCTTCTTTTCTCCACCAAAAGTCCTTAACTATACCTTTGTGTCAGCGCGATAGTCCACTCAAAACCTGATATTGACGTCCAAGGTCGCCGATCGACACCATGGAGTGAGTATTTGGCTCACTTGTACCGCTCAAACTAACCGATCAGTCCGCGCGATGGCATCACCAAGCTGGTAGTCGGTAACGAAGCCGAGAATGTCCACGTCCATCAAGGCTTGTTGTGCAGGTCATCGGAATTCTTCAAGCGCGCAATGAAACCCGAGTGGGCTAGCTTGAGGGAAGACCCAAATACAATCCAACTGCTCGAAGATTCGACGAAAATGGTAGTTTTCTACGTTCAGTGGCTGTATCGCGAGGAGCTTGTGCTTGATGTGCCACATCCCGCAAAAGAAGATGACGCGTATCGTGCTGCCAAATCGGACATCCTGTACACGAGGCTTGCAGAAGCTTACGTCTTTGGGGAGAAGATCATGGACGTCACCTACAAGAATCAGGTTCTTCGGAAATTTGTGGCTGTTCAGCGCAACTTCTACTACAGCCCCGGCCCAACTCCGGTATCCATTATCTATGCAGGCACGCCGAGTGGCTCACGGATGCGACTCCTCATTTGTGACTTCATCGCTTACAGTGTATCGGGTGACGCATCCTGGGTTACCCACTTTGATGGGTACCCGCATGAAACCCTCGTTGAAGCAATCAAGTTGATGAGTACGCTGCGCGAGAGTCCGGAAGATCGACCGTACAAGGCCGACATTAAGAAATATATCGAAGAGGAAGAAGCACGGGTAATTCAAGACTCGCGCTTCGTGGACGATGAAGCTGACTCGTGGAAGGTTTTCCAATTGACAAACGGCAAATACTGACGCGATGGATCGTTTGACGTGCCAAAGTTTACAGCGGTGGCATTCATACCGGTATTCCTCACAGGAACGATCAAGATTAATGATGTCTTCACTCGAGGCCAGAGAAGCCATAAACTGTAATCAACGTTTGGTTTGGGGGAGTTCGGCTCGGCATGGAGCAAAGACGATGAATCAACTACATCGTCATCAATAACAAATGCTTGCCGTTTCTTCCTGGCATTCTTTTCGCAAACAATGTTAGGCAATTGTACATCATGATATGTCTTCCTTTCCTAGTCTTGTGTATTGACTGACACTTTCCTCACCAAAGAGTTTTGCGAAAGTAGATAGCATATCTTACAGCAGCGTATCTGTTCAGGCTCCTTTGTAAACCTGAAAGTATGCCCCTGAGGAGTAGGAGATCATGTCATGAAGGCGTAGGGCGGACGTGAATTTTGCTGCTGCATAGTGGTCTGATGGAGTTCTGGTGTGAATGTGAGAAGAGATATCTGCAATGTCAGTGTGGAGATTCTTTCTGGATGACGATGAGCAAGTGACGTTTCATTTAACCCATTATCACCCACAAGCTAGCAATACCATATCGTACCGAACCTAATACAAACATCTAAAAGAGTGACCAAAAGTCCACCACACCATCCCGAAATCTCCCCTCTCATTCCCTCTCCCCCTCCCAATACCCCCCAATCTCCCTCCACGGCCTCCCCGTATTCTCCCTCCTAACCCTAACCATCGCCCTCAACACATCCACCAGCGCCTCCTTAGGCAACGCCTCAAACGCACTCGCCCAACACTTCGAATCCACCGCGCCATACGCATACATATCCACGAGCATACGTCTCGCCGGACTCCCCTCCGGCGTACCGTCGTAAACAATCACGAACGCCTCGGCGCAGGGATAGTCCGGCGCGCCGATCTGCACGCCCGCGAGCGTCTCGAGGGCGCAGCGCTTGTAGGACTGGTCCATGATTTGCTCGCCGAAGGCGTATGCCGAAGCCTGTTGTGGGGGGTGAGTTCGGGATGTAGAAAGGGGTGGGGAGGACTTACGAGGTCGATGAATATGTAGTCGCTCTTCGCTCCGTCTTCGTCATCGAAGTTGCGCGTGGGGATGGTACCGGAATACAGCCAGTTACAGTATGTCTTGATGTCTGAGGCTGTGTGGGTGGGGCCCATGTCGAGTGTGTCTGGGTCGGAGCGGAGCGAGGCCCATTCGTGTTTTAGCACGCGCTTGAAGTATTCTGAGGAGCGAACGAGGACGGCGTGGTGGATTTTGAGGGTGGTGGTCGAGGGTGGTGGGCCGGCTTTTATGGTGATGATTTTGCTGGAGAGACTGGTGGAGTGCATTAGTTTGGGGGTTGATAAATGTGGTCGCTGCTTGTCTGGGAGTTGTAGCATGAAAGTGAGCTGAATGGAACGTGAGATGGATTTTATGCCCGCGTGTTTGGCCCTGTATATCCACAGCTCCACGGTCATGTCGAACTGATTATGACAGGAAGTTCGGGGGAAATGTCCGACGATACTTACTCGAAAGCCTCATCAACGGGAATACGTGCACTTTTGAGAGCCATTTCATTGTCGTTGTTGACCGAGACTGTATCCGACTCGTCAGAGTAGTCCATGGGTAAATTGAAGGCGATAAGTAGAAAGACACATGGTTGCGCAGTCGACACATGATGCAATATATGTAACGAGCGTTGGTATTGGTGGTCAGCCGCTTGTGGCGGTGCTGCAGCTGCAAGATGACCTTTCCTGATGCAAGCCACCAGGTACAAACGGTTCTAGCCGCGCTTATCCTGGTTGTTATTGAAGTTTGACGCAACCCGGTGAAGGTTAACTTGCACGCTCGGCGACTTCTGCTTCATTTTGTAGCAGAAGTCTTGCCATGCCTGACCATGTAGATGAGCAGTATAAGCCGAGCGGCCTTCTTCGTGCTGTTCATCGTCTTCTTTGCTCAGTATATTCGAGAGACTCCCCCTCCACATGAGGGAGATGTCTTCCTGTACAAGATTCTCTAAGCTCTGCAACAAGCCTCCTGGGAACATATTGGATCTGTCAAGGAAGAAGCCGCGAAAGCATAACGTACGCAATCCTGTTAGCATTTCGAGCGCTGATGAGAGCCAACACCGGACGCGTCTATTCGGCCAGGTTCGTGCTCCATTAGAGAATCGAAGGCGAGTGTCGGTACTCAAGCCGTTCCGCAGTTCCAGGCGTTGAATATTCCGGAACTGCCTCAGCATCTAGTCGCATTGCCGCGTTGTGCCAGCAGTGCCTGTATAGCCGAACGGGGCATAGCCCCAATGCACACCGACGAGTCCTCGAATGGTCAATGTCATTTGACTGAGTGAATTGCGTCTTGATGAATTACGCGGCGTATGAAAGCAAGGGAGCTCAACAAGGCTGTCTTCTAGGGCAGAGAAGTGTACATGCTTTAGTGCCATGTCCTTGAACATGTACTCCGGTACCCATTCGTGTAAGCACGGGGGTGCTGGATGCGTTCTTGAGGTCGTCTTTGTACCCTCCCCGGAAATTGTCGACTTCAGGTGCTAGATAAGGTACGGTGAACTTTCGGAGCTCAGAAGGTAGGGTGTCCAAGTTGGCCCCAGAGGTAGAAATGGCCGGCATGGTGAAGTGACGGTGAAAGATGAGAGATAGGAGAGCAAGTAATGTCATAGCCGGTTTGCTGTTGTTGCACCCTACGCTCGTGCGGTGTAACCAGTACTTCGACATGACGGCGCGACCGGTCGGATCCGCTTACGGGACGATGATGGATGTCTCTTCGCCGCGAATTTCGATCTCATTTTACAACAAAGAGAGAAGTACTGGACATGCAGACACCAGGTGCTGCAATAATTCGTGCCCGCTGTGCCTTAGGACGCTGAGCACCGTCGAAGAGCAATCAGGGCAGTTAAGCTGTCTAACTTCAAGGTTATCTTAGCTCTTCGCAACGTACTAATGGGGTATTGACCCTCTCCAGGTTTATGTATGAAATGTCATTTGCTCTCTAATAGTAGGTTGAGTTTGAACAGAACGCGCACGAATTATTGATGCAGTCGCGGTGCCAATGTCGTGTGGCCATAGCTTCATCGTTCCTCCTCAAGCATCGCCTCGGCTAATCACGGTTCATGGTCAACTTCGTGCTGAACCCTTCCGAGGGCCAATTGCTAGAACCTAAAGCCTTGTCGAGACCTCTAAATCATTCCAACTACAGTCTGGCCACGGAACCGATCTGCTCAATTAAAAATGCCTCTCCTTCTCCGGCCCAGCCCACGGCTGCTCATCCGTCCCATACAACGATGCGCATACTCGAGTGCTCCAGCACCAGCTATAAACGTCACCAACGTACCAGCACCACATTCTGGAAGCATAAGAATTCTCTCCCTGAACCGGCCGGCTGCACGTAATGCCATTTCGAGGCAATTGCTCACCGAGCTACACCACCAAGTCAACAGCATACAGAGCGAAGGAGATGCGGGGCCTACGCGGGCACTCATCCTGGCCAGTGAAGTAGACACGAGTTTCTGCGCAGGCGCAGACTTGAAAGAGCGCGCTACATTTACGCAAGAGGAGTATGCTCGACCCAACCTCTAGATAGGGCCAGGGCTAACCAGTCTACAGCACAGCAAACTTCCTCACAAACCTCCGCGGCACGTTCACCTCCATCTCGCAACTCCAAATACCCACAATCTCCGCGCTTGCAGCACCAGCATTCGGCGGCGGCCTCGAGCTCGCTCTGACCACACACATGCGCATCTTCGCGTCCAACACAACCGTCGCACTCCCCGAGACACGGCTGGCTATCATTCCCGGCGCTGGAGGAACATACCGCCTCCCCGCGCTCATCGGCCTCTCTCGAGCCCGCGACCTGATCCTCACAGGCCGAAGGGTCGGCGGACCAGAAGCATATTTCCTCGGCCTGTGCGACCGGCTGGTGGAGGTCACGCCGGAAGACGCAGCACGCGAAGGCGCGGCGCGCAAGAAGGTGCTCGACGAAGCGATCAAGCTGGCGCGGGATATCTGCGAGGGTGGGCCAATTGCCATCAAAGCCGCTCTCGCAGCGGTGGAGGGATGCGCATTGGGCGAGAAGGCAGAAAACGCCGCGTACGAACTCGTCGTCAAGACGAAGGATCGCGACGAAGCACTCGCGGCGTTTAGGGAGAAGCGGAAACCCGTGTTCCGGGGGGAATAGAATACCAACCCGACACCAATCAAGGAAAATTCCACTTGAAACGCCTGCATTATTCGTATTTACATCTTCGCCTTGATATCCTCCAGCAGCTTCATCAACTCGCCCTTGTCCGCGTTCTGCGTCGGCCACTCAATCCCCAGCCCCTCGCTCTCATTCGGCTTCGGGATCAGGTGGAAGTGCACATGGTCCACCTGCTGGTGCGCAATGCGCCCGTTGTTCTGCAGCACGTTGTAGTCCGTGACGCCCTGTGCAATGGCAATCTTCTTCGTCACCGAGAGCACTTCCGAGAGCTGGTCGTCGGGGATGTCGTGCAGTTTCGCGCCGTGGTGTTTGGGGATGATGAGCTGGGAGACGTATTAGATGGAATAGGGAATGTGAGGGAGGGGGAGGAGGAGGTACCGAGTGTCCGCGCGAGAGGGGCCCGATGTCGAGGAATGCGAAGGTCTTTTCTGATTCGAAGATCTTCATCGACGGGATCTCACCTGCGACGGGGTTAGCGATTCGGGAGGCATGGGTTGGGGCTGGATAGGGATGTACCCTTGATGATCTTGCAGAAGATGCATGCGGCGGAGGACATTGTGGTGCTCGGTGGAGGGTATTTTTTGCGCAGATGGTGACGTGATGTTTGAGGTGGGTGGGTGTTGAAGTTAAGCCGAGCTGTGAAGTGGGGTGTGGGGTAGCTTCCGGTCCCGCTCTGCCGGTGACGTTTGCAATACTCAGAGAGTTCTAAAAAGTACGGCAAAATGTCTGTGACATTCGAATTGGCCAAAATCGTGATGGATGTCTAATTCTGATGACCTCTTTTGAGCATTCGTCCTTGATCATGACTTCTCCCACTTCCAGTCTCCACATTCGAAATTCGCATAGCACCTGAACTCATTGCTCAACCCCTTCGCATGCTTGATCTCGTAGTCGGTGGTTTTGGTTCCGACCTTTCCATACAGCTTGCTGGTCACTAAGCTCTCCATACGCTCTCCTGTGCAAACGATGAGACGGAGAGACTCTGTTGTCCAAGATTTCGCAAGCCATCGTACGGTCAGAGTAGCTTTCTCATGTTAGCCGAGATTTTCCCCTTGATCAGAATCGGGCATACCTTTGGTCTGACAGTCTTCGCTGAGAAATGGCGGATCGCAGATGATGCGGTCGAAAGTACCCTTTAGCTCGGCTGGTAGCTGGATCGCTTTTTCGAAATCGTAGCGTACAAACTCTTTAAAGACTGCGAAGCGTTCGTCATACTCGAGGAGCTTGATCTCGGGTCTGCACTTGTACTCTCCTGATGCCTGCTCAAACTTAGACAAACTCCCACCAGAATCTAAATTTTACTCACCAGCAAATTTTTCAACTGGATGAAAGCACTCGGCGCAGAAACAACCGCAATCTTCGTCTCATCCGTAGCACCATCGAGCAACTGCCGCGCAAGGGTCGTAGCCGTCTCATCGTTGTACCAAAACTGGCTAGCATTCCAATCTTCGGTGAACGCATCCATGGACAATTTCCCCTCAAAGTCGTCTTCCGCCTGGCTCTTCAAGTTTTCAAACTGCTTTTGTCGGTCATCCCGCTCGCCGTAAAATTCCTTCAGCGCGGCCAGGGCATCGCCCGAGAGCTGTCTTCGCTGATTAGCAAGCGCAGTAACTCCTTATCAAAGCTCACGCACGGCATCTCATCGTCGTCGTCGATCGGCGCCATCTTTGTATGTTTTTGGATGTTTTCGATTGGTGTGCCTGAAAAGTTCTAGTGTGTATGAGGGACAATTCGTCATATGGCGCTATCGTATCGATAAGTACGCGAATGCGGGAGCCTCGGTACTGCGGTGCGTAGGAGTGACACCATGCGTGTCCCGCGATGGGTCGTTCACGTACCTTTGCGCAGACTATATTCGAAGATGGCTGAGAAATTAGTGCCCCTGCCGACGGTGGAGAAGCTCAGTAGTCGTGTTATTCGTGTGCTTGGAGGGAATCCGGGCAAGGTGAGCATCCCCTACAGCTATGACACCGTAATCTGACAATCTACCAGTTCTCACTGCAAGGTCCGATGTTGTAGCATTTCGCTCGTGATATGAATGCTAAAATTTGAAGGCACAAACACATACATTGTTGGTCAAGGCTCAAAACGTCTTCTCATCGACACCGGCGAAGGCAAACCAGCATGGATTGCATCCATAAAGTCCGTGTTGGACAAGGAGAACATCACAATAGACAGGGCTATCCTGACACACTGGCATCACGATCACATTCAGGGTGTGCCTGACCTGCTTGAGCACTCGCCCAATACCAAAGTCTACAAGAACGACCCACACGACGACTGGCTTGACATAAGCGATGGCCAGAAGTTTGAAACTGAAGGCGCGACACTGCGAGCATATCACTGCCCAGGCCATACCACCGACCACATGGCGCTCATTTTAGAGGAAGAAGACGCAATGTTCACGGCCGACAACGTACTCGGCCAAGGTACCGCCGTCTTTGAAGATCTCACCGCCTACTTGAAAAGTCTCTCTGGTATGTCCCAGCAATTCAGCGGTCGCGCGTACCCAGGCCACGGGCCGGTGATCCCAGACGGCCCCGCAAAGATAGCCGAATACATCGCGCACCGCAAGCAGCGCGAGAAGCAAGTTCTCGACGTGCTTTCGCAGGACAGGGATGGTGGGTGGACTTCGATGGACATTGTCAAAGTCATCTACAAGGATTATCCTGAGAATCTATGGGAGCCGGCTGAGAGGGGGGTGTTGCAGATTTTGGACAAGTTGTTGAAGGAAGGGAAAGTCACGTTTGATGAAGGCAAAAAGACGTGGGCGTTAAGTGGGAAGTCTAGGATTTAGGTAGCCAATGATATGATGCACTAGAGAATGGGGTTGAAGCGCCCTTGAGTCGAGTTTGGAACACGCCCCGCTCATGCATCCCCCTCACGCCGAGATCATCGTGATTCTTTCTTTGAAAGCAGCAAACATTGCAATAGATAACAATTAAGTTTTCCCACTGTCATCAATCACACATTGACACCTTTGGTGGTCACAAAGACAATGTGCCAGAGTGGTTAATGGGTTAGACTTGAATTGTCCTGCACTTTACTATGTAACTTCGGGACGCACGTTCAGCAATCTAATGTCTTCGGACGCACAGGTTCGATCCCTGTATGAACTTCTTATTCTGCTACGTCTTTTCAACCATTCTAACGTCTTGCAGGTCATTGTCGTAGCCACAGATCTTCTTTTTGCACTTTTGAGCCAAAAGTCGGATGATGCGCCGACTTTGGCTGCCGGAAAACACTGTGTTCACTGTAATTTTTTATATGACCAAGAGGCATGCTTTTTGCACATGTGGTTGTTGAGATATGATGTGGTGAAGTTCGGGGGTCATTAGTTGGGTGGTGGAGGGGCCGCACCTGCCGTCTTGCGAGCATTGTCAGGGACATCCGCCCAACCCCGGTCGCATTGACCGAGCCTCGCATTCCTCACGAAATCACGGCGCATGGGTATGGCAGCCAGGAGGTATCTACATGACAAAGAATTTTTTTCTGGTAGTACATAAGAGAGCCTGGAAGACCTCAAGGGACAGAGAAGTCTGCTCTAGCAGCTCATACAGCTGCGTATGACTTCAGGATAGCCAATCCCACCACCAAATCAAGCCCCTCCCCAGACCTCCCACTGTTCACCCGCTGCAATCAATGCATTCTCCAAATCCCACTCTTCCATATCCTCCACCTCATTGCCTTGATCAATCTCCACTATGGCCGGATCTGCGGAGACCATCCCATCATTAGTGCCGTCACCCGTCCAGCCCGGAAGTCCATTCAAAGCCTTGCGACGGAGGGCATTCGTTGCGTCACCCTGGGCCTCAAGCTGCTTGAATGAGTTGCCGAGGCCTGTTGGTTGGGAAGGGTGGTAAACAGCTGGGATTCCGGGAGTCCAGGAGCAGACGGGACGACCATACAGGACACGGCAGTTCTCGCAGACTTTGCCAGATTTGACCTCACACTTGTTACTACCGTTAAGGCCTGTGTTGAGATTCAAGAACATGCAAGAGTCGCATTTGTTCCTGGTACCGAGCTTCTGTCCACCAAACCGCGTGATGGATGCGCGAGATTCGGCCTGGCTGAGTCCTACATTCCGGAGCTGAAAGTCTCCATGCACGCCGAGTCCCTTCAGTTGATTCTCAATGTCGTCCGGATCCAAGCGGTTATTAGGTATCGGCGCGGAGGTCGTAACTCCTGTACCAGCTTCGAAAGTAATCATTTGGTCCACGTGATCGTACTTGACCACTTTCACCGCAGCCATAGGGGGTGTCCGGAGCCAGGAGTGTTGTTGATCGGCTGGTATTCTCTCGTTGAACAGCCAGTGAATGACCTGAAACACAAACGTTAATTAATTATGCAATTTGGGAGTGATGCGTGTGAGGAAAGCAGGAAAGAAATGCTGTCAGCTTGCTTACCTCAATGCCATTCGCGTACGGTGTGAAACTACCAGGCTCATCACTGTGGACCATCTTCAGAGGTCGCTCGCAATGAAGGTATTTGGATCGATGGTTTCCGCCTGCGTCTTCCCAGTTGATCGAGATAGCCCAACTATTAGCTCGATCCCAATCTTGAAATGGACCAACAAGTGGAAGACGAGCCCATGAAAAGGGATGAGGCTTCCAGTCCAAACGAACTTCAAACGTAACATTGAAGAATGAGCCTTCAGCTGGCCATTCAACACCGTCAGAGGAAGGCCCTCCCGGAAGCGTACGATTGATCCTGAACCGGTAGTCTTTGTTGACATCAGAAACCAGTGCAAAAATGATGAAGGATTTGTCTTGCGAGGCAGATGTCTTTCCAGGTATGAGTACTGTCATCTTCTTAGGCACTTCGCGCGTGAAGTTAGCAATCTTGATCGATTCGGTTGGATCGTCTACGTTCGGCATCCACCCATCCTGTCTAAGCCAGACAGACGGTTCGTGGGTCGGCGCTTCCGAGATCGGAGACTGGTAGTTTAGGCCTGCGCAAGTAGCAAAGGAAGCCTTCCAGAAACTGTCTCTTTGTACGGCACCAGTCCATTTGCTCAGCTTAGCAGCAGCTTTGGCAACCTTGTCCATCTCAGAGTGATTCTTCTTGTGAAAATTGATTTGGTCTTCGTTGAGTTGCCCGGCAACGCCAGTGAGAGCTTCTTTGTAGGTCTGAAGAAGCGAAGTGAAAAGCTGTTCAATGATGTACTTGTTGTCCTGGTAGAACGATGGGTCGACTAGACACAATGCACGCATTTCGATCGAATGTGACTTCTCAATCAACTCTTCATGCCCACCCTGCTTCCAGCCGTGGTATCGGTTATACAGATCATGAGACTGACCGACGTACAGCGAGCAGGCATTTTGGTTGGGTTTAGGAGTCGTAATGTAGCAACGGAAGTAGAAGCCAGATTGATGAGCCTCCTCGACTTTGGAGCAATTCAGAGTAGCCTTTGACACAAGGTCTTGAACAGTGAAGTCCGGTTTGTTTAGGATGTTGGCAAGACCCGCCCGTTCGATGCCGATGATGACGTTGGCCGTAAGGTACGGGATGTTGCTACCTGCCTTGCCGAGCTTCGCAAAACTGTCGTCCGTGAGGGATCCCGGGTGTGTATCTACCAAAACCTTGAGGAACGTGCTGATTCCCAATGCGAGATGTTGGTACTTGCTGCTCCTGAGAGCACCGGCCTCATTGGCCGTGAGTTTCGAAATCGTCCTTGGGATGTTACAAGTGTCGATCTCCCAGGTGCCGTAAAGCTTGGTGCCCATCTTGATGGCCTTCAGGCTGATCCAATCCTTGAGGAATGTTTTGTCGGTTTGGAAAAGGTCTCGGCATTCCACGTAGGCGCTGTCTTCCTCGACAAGAAGGACCCGGCCTTGCATGCCAGGAAAGAATTCGCGGTTGAGGCTCGGCGATGTGTACTCGTGCGTCACTCGGAAGCCGACAGTTGGACGGACTAACACTGAAGTTGGGGCGCCATCTCTGATCATAGGGAAGAGTTGTGCGGGCGGCGGAAGATAAGCCGCGTCGCCATCCTCTAGCCAGACCATGTTGCTGAACTACTGATAGAGAGGTGATTGGAGCAGTCAGGAGGAGCGGCGGTTGAGGTGCTGGGGTACTCAGGAGGAGCGGCGGTTGGGGCACTCAGGAGGAGCGGCGGTTGAGGTAGTCAGGAGTAGAAGTGGTTGAGGTGCTTGGGCAGCTATTAAGTAGGTAAGCGGGGGCCGTTGCCTGGGTGCGGGTGACCAAGCAGGTGGCAGTGTACAATCACTCCGTTTGTTTCTGGTGAATTGTGCCTTTACCACTGTTACGGGCCGCATTCAGGAAACACGGGTGAGCGTGACTGTTGAACAAGAGTGTGAGCAAGAGTTACGTACACAAACAGCGATATCTCGGGAGCATCCTGGTGACTGGAGGCAGGTCATTTCCCATGCCCCAGAGATCGCTCGTTTCCACGAGTGTCACACATCTCTACATAATTCTTGCCCACCTTTTCCCACAATCAGACGTGAAGACGCAGCCTGTATGTATTCAAAGATCTCCATAGAACTAACTACATTATCTGGAAGCTGCGTATATATCCAGCCTCTCCTAAGCTTGTGATAAGCATACATCTAGAGACTATTAGCTTATGTCGTGTAGGCGCAGGGCGGACCTGAAATTTGCCGCTGCCGAGTGATTTGACGATCTTGGATGAATTTCAATCAATGGCAAACTCCATATGATGCATACCCGTTCTAAATTTGCCATTGCATATTAGAATTCTCGAAGCAAAGTATGGCGCTTGGCCCATGCCGACATCGTGATCTATCACAATGTTACCTCGTTCACTGAGAACCTTGGAATGTTAGACAAACGCCAACTATTTGCGTTTACCGCACGTGCTTTACCTAGAGTGTGTCTACTTATGCAACCATCAAACGGATGCCGGATAATTGTGGGGTATTTGCCGTGTCCAGTTTGCCAAACATTCACCTCACATGGCCGCATGTTCGCAAGCGCTGGCGGCTGTACGAGTCTGGCGCCTGATTGCGGGATCACCACGACTATTCTACAATCACCTGCGTATGGTCAGCCATGACGCTAGCTGTTGATCGCCCTGTAGGTATATAACTCCCTCTTGTTCCGCTTACCCTCCTCTAGATACCATAGGTAAACTGCACAGGTGCTCAGCCGCTGATCCGAGACCACAGACAACATCGGAATAACCGAACTCTGAAATCAAGACCATCGAGAGTCTCCAAGCCCTGTGCCGACATGACGCAACCACCTCTTTGGTTGCGTAAGCACGTCGACATCAGTCTAGCCAATGGGCCGCTACCGTCTGGCATCACGGTCACAAACACAGGCGATACGCCTCGCTACCAAATCTCGACAGGTGGCGTGCTGAGGAAATTCTCACATCACCCTCTGTCGCCCGAAGGAAGGAATGAGTGGAAAGACGTGCTACCCATGGCGCCAGTAGAGAACGGCAGCAAAGCCGAGACTCCCGGAGTTGCGCACCCACCCATCATCTACAAGCCTAGCGAGTGGTTGTGGAAGACGCAGGGTAGCTTCAAAGAAATCCTTGCCAAGGCCTTTTCGATCTCGAATGCGAACATCACCCCAGAACAAATCGTATCGAAGGAGACCAACAGGGCGGTTGAGGAACATATGAAGGCCTACAGCGTCCTCTACCATCCGTGTGATCGACGATCGCTGGTCACATACGACAAGGAACACTACCTTTCTTGCCTGGCTCGCCATTTCAACAGAGGTCTGATCGTGGTCGGGCCTGAGCTCAAGGAAAAGAAGAAGTATCTAGCTCATGGCTTTGCTAGTCCAATAGAGCGACAAGCAATTCGTGCGCGTTACAGCACAGGACTCCAGGAAGACTTCCCCCCGATCATTCTTGGATACATCCCTACCAGCGAAGAATTCGCGAAATGGTTCTACCTGGAGCCGACCGGAGCTATGGTAGAGAGCTATCAAAAAGCCATGAAAGGGTACGTTTATGCGCTCAGCTCTTTGTTGAAGTACGTCACTAACAACCACAGTTGCGACTGGGCCAACGAAGCTCGCAGGTTCGGATACGACAACACCGACAAGTTCGTACGGGCTGCCGTCTCTATCCAACGTTCGATCGTGTTGGGCTTCTTGACAGTTCCAAAAGAGTACCTGGGCTACGCCATCATGGAGTACGGAAAATACCTCGCAAAGCGTGGCAACCAGGGCTACGGCAAGGAACTCTTCGACCTTAAGAGGACACAGAAATCGGCCGATTCTTATCCCCAGGTCACGTTCGATGAGCTCACCCTGTGGATACTGACGTCTGGAGGGGTCAGTACTGCAAGGCGCTTCTCGAATGCATGGAGCAAGGTCATTCGACAATACCTTGTCTTTCGGAGGAGCTTGAATACAGCGGATTGGGTCCAATTTATCCAAGCAGTATCTGTTCTGCAGAAGCAGTAGGACTTTGAGGAGGGTTGCATTGGTAGTTGGGCGAGAAGTTTGGCGCCTCATTCATGGCATCTTGTTCCATGGATGGAGTTGCAACGAGGACTTCCAAATTCCAGCTTACACGATGATACGGATGAGGCCAACAAAGGTTTGATCGAACATCTTGCACGAATTGAGTATTGGGTACTTGTAGCAATGTAAATACGGTCGTATTTCGAGAATGTCACAAATGTAAACACAACACAATTGAGAACATTTGTCACTGGATACTTCAAATTCTGTCCAGTGAAATCTCACGCATTGTATGTTGTGTCCAATGAAATTTCGCATCCGCCCAATACTCTGTGGTTCAGGCGCGACTTCGGTGTCTTGGTTTTACCCCAAAGGGGTTTTGGTTGAAGCTGGTGAATAGAAACCGGGATGAAGACGTAGAGTACCTCGTACTGCGTATGCAAGGGAATCCAAATGTCTAAGAGTCTATCTCCACCGAGAAAGCTGAAGGTTGGCCAATGTGAAGAGTTGAACGAATCTTGGAGTTTTGACGAAGTCGTGCGTCTTTGGATTCGCATGGTCGCACAAGCTGATCTGGAGAAACGAATAACGATAGATCTGGGTTTCATTCAGATACATCTGATGAAATACAAGGTTTGAACTGCTCGTCAAAAGGTCTGGACCGTCTGTTCGTCTTCGCTGTCCAGATTTGTTGTGTCCTGTCGTCGTTCCAGTACACCTTCGGTGACTTGCAAAAGGTTTCGTGATCGACACTGCCGAATTGATCTGAGTGAAGGCTGATAAAGAGCCAGGTTTTTCATTGACTGCTCCCAGCTCGCTAACGACGTATCTCGTCGTTCGAGAGCTGACGCGAGCGTCACAGAACGCTCGGAGCACCAATGTGGTCAGTGTCGTTACATCTAATATTTCGTCAGCAAATACTTCGCGCAAAATAGTGAGTGGCTCTTACTGTATGTCTATCATACTCTGCTTTTAATACCATTGCAGGTAAGTAGACGCCCCAATGTACAGACGCCCCAATGTACAGACGTCCCAATGTACAGACGCCCCAATGTACAGGAGCTCCAATAGAAGCTTCGGTGAGTGCGTCGCATTGTTCAATAGTCAGGCTACTATGGTATCAGCTGGGCTCTCAAGTGGAGCCGGAGCATTACTTACCGCTGGTGGAACCGACAAAGCAGTCGTTAGTCGGTAGTGGGTCGAGAACGCTCAAGGCCCAGTGTACAGAAGCCCCAATGGGTGTGCCATCGTGCTATAGTTGGGTGAACTTGGTATACCGGAAGGTGTCCGAGGAGAGTTTGCGTAGTGAGTTCCGTTACTGAGAAACCTATTGCCGGTGCTGATGTTGGAAGAAGTGACGAGCATTTGACCTTCATATTGACTGTGTTCATGTCAGTATAGGCTTCCGGGAAGGTCTATCAGCGTAACTTACCATTCGAGCAGTGTTTGAGTGATGCTGTTGGTGACGCGTGTTGCCAGAGGCAATAATGTACAGAGGCTTCAATGTACAGAAGCCCTAATGTACACGCGCCAATTCAAAAAAAAAATGGAAAGCACCAAAAATTGCTCACTCGGGGGCGACATTCTCCTTCTCCTTCTCCTCCTCCTCCTCCTTCTTCTTCTCCTTCTTCTCTTTCTTGCCCTTCTTGGGCGGCTTCGCCGCCGCCCGCGGCTTCTTCTTCGCCGGGCCGGCGAGCCCCTTCGCCCCAGCCCTTTTCTTGCTCACCACCACCACCTCAGCAACCTCACCGCCCTCTTCGGCGACTTTGGCCTCACTCTCTTTCTTTGGCGGAAGAGCGAAAGCCGGAGGAGGTTTGGATTGCTGAGGCGGTGGTGTACGAGCACGCACCGCAAAGCAAGACGGGTCGACGACAGGTCGAGGAGGAGGACTAAAGTCCGCCTCCTCCTCGACGGACAGACGCAGCGGCAAGCGGTATCCCGCGAACGAGAGCACAGAAGAAAACCTATACGTATATTAGCTTCATTACCAGAGGTACGCGTTAAAAACGTGTCAAATCAACGTGAGCAAACAGAAACTCACTTCATCTTAATCGTAGATGACTGAAGAAGAAGTGAGAACCTACCTGAAGCTTTTATCTGCTCCTCACAAGCGTACCACGTGCTGTGTAACTAAGAGCACCCCTTATCTTGGCAGACTTCTCCGAGCAGACCTCCCCACGCCTCAAGAAGTCAGAAAGCTGTCATTAGTCTCTTCCTAGACAACGAGTGCAGTTCTGACTAGCATCTGACTCTCATTCGCACAGTTCTACTCCATTGATGCCTCCGTAGCATCAGAGATGCGCGTACTCCGTTCACCATTTCGATACCTGAATAGTGAGCAATGCGGGCTCTTTGGATTACACAACACACATATGACTACTAAACGGCCTGTGAGAGCAGACTGAATAACCTCTCGATTGGATTATCGACGCATTGAAGCGCGTTCCTGGTGGCCATGGCAATGCTCTTGGTCGAGGCCAACACTGAAGCAACGCGACCGCGTCAATCACGTGCACGACGCGACACTGCTTCAGGGTACTTATTTAGGTTAGTAGTATTGCGTGACTGTACTGTTCCAGCACATTCCCCGTCCCTGAGCGCAGCATGTGACGGTGCTTGTCATAGCTCACCGCTCACTGTTATATCGAGTGCTTCGAACGCCTCAGTGCGTTACATGCAATACCTATTAACAATGCTTAGAATTTACTTCGACTAACTTGTATTGAATTGCCAAAGTCGAGGCTTGCGCATACTCTAATATTCTGTGTGAAATGTAGATCGCCACTCTTGCTTTCTATGCACGCAACCTCTTTGCTTCCTCGGCATTTTGGGCTAGAAACCTTGGATCTCAAATCCTGCTCAGCTTGAGAGTAGTTATATTCATGTCATGATTCGGAGGTGCGTTGTTCTTCCTGTTGCCCGTGGCCTTGGGCCCTGGCGGAGCCCTGTAGTTATTCCTGCGGTTGTTCCTGCGGTTGTTCCTGCGGTTGTCGCGGTTAAAGTCGTTGTCATCGTCGTTGTCATGCTCGCCACCAGGGCCCCATTTGCTGTTTCCCATAAGGCCAGGCATAGTCGTTGTATTCGTCGGTCAGTGTTTCCCGAGTTCAATTGGCTGACTTGTTGTCGCAGTTGAGTGGATGGTCCCTCGTAGTTGGCGGTAGAGCTGTAGTGGTAGGAAGGAAGCGCCGACAGTCCAGAATCACAAAATGCGCCTGTGCGTTTGCGCGGATCAAATGTGAAAGGAAATGTCCGAGAAAACTTTCACGATTCTGGATTGTTCTACAATTGGAAACATGTTGGGGCACGGTGAGATAGAAAAGAGAATCGTTAGATGTGTAGTCGTAAGTCATAGCCGTAAGTCATAACCAGGTCGTCTCCTTTTGCGCATGCAAAGTTGTGCGCCGTCCTGCAAGCCTCACAGTACTTGCCAGCCACTGTCCTCGTTTCCACCCGCACCCGCTGGCGACAAGGGCGTCCACGTTTCATCTGACCAGTCATCATCGGAGTTTTCTTGCTCCAACGTGGGTGTTGTGGTATTGTCAACCCCACTATCGTTGGGATTGGTGCAGTCTTCCTTTTCGAGGCTTTCCTGTCGATGCGAAATGCTGTCGCCGGTCCCATCCCCACGTGTATCTCCGGAACCTCCTCCCGCGGTCGCCCTCATTGGTCTCTGCACGACCACTCCAATGTCGATGGCTTCCAAGAACGCATCGGCGTCTGTGTACTCCTCTACACTCTCACCCCACCAATCCCAGTTCAATTTGATAGAAATCCCTTCTCCGCGTAGCAATACCACAAATTCGTGTGACGCAGTCCTAGTAGCTTCACCCCAGATATTCACGTGCAAGGACTTGAACGCCGGGAGCTCTGCAATAATATAACGCGCCAGTGCCATATACGCTCGCCCGCCTTGATCATCGCGGCAATCTTCCTCATATGGCTGAATGAGCACAGTGAGGTTCTCAACGCGCTGCCGTGCGTCTGGAGAGAGTGATCTGAGGTATTGCAGCGTGGCGTGCGCCTGGTAGCGACCTCGGGGACATGGCCCCGATAGCAACAGGAAGTTCTTGCCAGCATATGCACTTGGCTTGGCATCCTCTCCGACTTCTCTGCGTCTTTGAAGCTCCTCATTTGTTGCAGGTCGAAGCAGATTTATCTGGCCAAGTGGGGTCTGGAGAACCCATAGCTCATCTTCTGGAGAGGCGAAGCTGACTACAGGATCAGAGCAACTGTAGCGTGTGTATATGTGGCCCGAGTCGGTATTGTTTCCACAGTGGCAGATGTCAATCTGCGTAGGTCCGGCAAAGGTGGTATTGCTGGGATTCTCCAAGTGTGGCCATTCGAGAGAGTAGTTGATTGTCGTTGCGTCTTGAAAGACGGGAGAAGCTAAAGGCATCGATGTGCAGGATAATCCAGTCTTGAGTGCTGTCGAGGGTATTTGAGGAGTTCACAATGGCGAGAAGCCGGGACTCTGCTGTTCTCACCGCTGATCTTGACTGAAGATGTCAAGCCTTGTACAACAAAACCTGCTCGTGGGACAATTTGCAGACTCAGAATAGCAAGAATGCATACCGCTCATCTGACTTGGAAGGCGACTTACTACCCAGAATACGTTATGATGAGCCGAATGCGGTAATGCGGTATCCAAAAATAGTGTGATTGTTGTCCGGCTGTGTCTCACGGCGGCGTAAGCACAGACATTCCTATCGACCGAATGTACGCAAACTTACCAGCCACACACGATCATTGGCGGACAGCAGGATAATTCCCGTTTGTGAGGCTAGCAAAGAGAAGTCTAGGATAAAGTTGTAGGCGGAAGCTCAGGATGTCTCAAATAGCTGCCAATGATTCAGTTTGAGGACGAATTTGGTCCCACTCTGGTATGCAGAGTGCAGTCAGCGGGCAATTAATATTCTGACAAGTGCTTCTGTTCTTATGTGTTTGCAGAGGGATCAGACGCGACGCTGTGGGGCGTAGGAGATGCAGATCCGGCTGCGGGATTCTGCTGACGCAAGAGCACAGACCGGCTCTTTCCAATTCATCGTCACGTGCGCGAATCGTGACAGCCACCATGGACCCTAAGTATTGTACACATGGGCCGGAAGATGACATGTTTTATTGTTCATGTCTAGATTTGTAAAGCATGCAAGAGATACATTCATATCCATCCCTGTCCAACCCAAAGCCTTGAGAGAAGAGTCTACAAAAACGGTCCATCCAAAACTCACTCGACCCTACTATTCGCCTTTGCCGCCTTCTCCGCAATCGCCTTCAGGTTAACCGGCGCATCATCCCACGGCATAACCAACTCCACAAACCTCATCATCTGCGTGTCCCCACTCGAAAACTCCTTGTCCTCAAACAACCCCTCCAACTCCTCCTTCGTCTGCACGCGATACGTCTTCACACTACCCTCCGTCGCTCCAAAAGCTGCGGGCAAGTCTTTATACTTCCATTCCTGGACGTCGTTGTAGCTGTCTTCCATACCGTGGATCAGGCGCTCGATGGTGTATCCCTTGTTGCAGATGACAAAGATGATCGGGTTGAGTTTGTGCCGCAGCATGGTGCTGATTTCCTGCGCGGTGAGCTGGAAGCTGCCGTCGCCGGTGAAGAGGATGGTGCGCTTGATGCCTTTTTCGCGCGCGGCGAGGGCGGCGCCCTGGCAGGAGCCAGTCGCGTAGCCGATGGAGCCCCAGAGGACTTGTGAGATGGCTGTGATGTCGGCGGGGAAGCGGGTTTCCCAGACGCCAAAGTTGCTGGTGCCCGTCTCGGTGATGAGGATGTCGTGGGGTTGCAACCATTGGCCGAGGCGGGGCCAGAGGTAGGCGTGTGTGATGGTTGAGTTGGAGTTGTCGATTTTCTCGTGGTTAGGGATGGTGTTGTTGGGTTCTGGACCGGATTCGATGTTGAGCTTTCCGAGTTTGGCGGTGACTTTGGCGAGCACGCCGTTCATTCTTACACCGGGGTACTCGCTATATCGTACTTTGACGGCGTAGCTGTGGAAATCGATCGTGTTCATCTGACTCATACGGACTGTGAAGCCAGCGGTGTTGAAGTCTGACTGGATAGCGCCGATACTGAGGACCAGGTCCGCGGACTCTACGCGGTCTTTCACACCGGCATTCGATCCGTCGCCAGCGTAGACACCGCCGTAGTTTGGCAGCGTTTCGTCGACTGCACCTTTGCCCATGGGTGCGACAAACGTGGGAATCCCCGATTTTGCGACAAGATCGTGGGTCTCTTTGAGGGCCCGGTGGCGAATGGCACAGCCGTCGACGACGATTACTGGGTTCTTGGCTGCGTGCAGGTACTTGAGGACGACATCGACGACATAGTCTTCTGCTTCCTGGTCATTGGGAGGGTAGTTCAGATCCAGTGGGGTGTTCAGCCTGTCGCCATCAATCTTCTTCTGCACCATATCGCTCGGCAGGGAAATGTAGACGGGTCTTGACTGCAGGATGCATTCTCGGATGGCGTTGTCGATCAACATTGCGGCCTCATGCTGGTGGTTGAGCATGGAGACTGCACATGAAATTTCCTTTGACATTCTTGAGAAAACGGTGAAGTCACCATTCCCGAGCGTATGATGCAGTAAAGCTCCATTCTTCTGTGAGAGGGTTGACGGGTAGCCGACAATGTGGACAATGGGCACGTATTCCGAGTATGCTCCAGCGATGGCGTTGACAGCTGATAGCTCTCCGACGCCGAATGTAGTCACTAAAGCTGAAATGCCCTTGACTCTTGCGTAACCATCTGCTGCGTATCCTGGGGAAAGTTAGCAAGGATAGTGATCGCGATCGACATGAATCAGAGAGAGCAAGCATACCGGCATTGAGCTCATTGCAATTGCCTACCCATCTCAGGCCAACCTTTGGGATGTAGTCGAGTGCGACGAGATTATAATCGCCAGGCACACCATGAATAGACTCGACGCCTACCTGCTGCAGTCGTCGAAAGAGGTACTGACACAGTCAGCTAGCGCTCAATTATACCAAGACACGACCATACCTCTGCAACATCGACCGGGTTCTTGATCTCTTGCGAGCGCAGATCCTGTGCCATAATACCGATTACTGTAAGCGGTGGAGATGTATAGTGTTCGGATTATTGTAGTTTGATGTAGATGAGTGTATTGTTGGGAGCGTTTGCTCTTTATAAGGATCCCTCTACAAACATGACGACATAGTTGCGATACCTCCCGATCACCTTCCGGCCTCGTGTCCAGTATTGTTGGGAGAAAGTCCCAGAAAAGTCACTTGCAGGTGAGGTGAGTGGATCGAGAGCCAGTACGAGCAGCACGACGGGGCTGCTGAATCAGCCCAGGTGGCGTGACCATTGGGTTTGGTGCACTCTAGACGATAAGAAGTAGCAAAATCCGCAGCAAAAGCTTTTTGGTCAGTCCATCGATAATTCTGTGAGGGGCGTGCAGTGAATGTTTGCATGCGAGCCCATTATACCATGGATGGATAGGCAGCATTGAGGCTCAGCCTAGTCGGGCAATGGTGGTGAGACGCAAGGAAGAGGTTTAGTGGGGCGTGTCGAGTGCATTCCAGTAAGGAGCAGCTACGTGCAGTTGTCGCTAATGAGGCTGTCTCAAGTTTCGGCGGTACTCCAGGGCTCTGGCTCTCCACGTCGTCGCGAGCCTCAGCACGTGAATGAAGCATGCCGACACCACGTTCTCGACCCGGGTGGAAGCGGACAAGGGCGATCGGGACGGAAGAGCGACATGCGCCGGAACCAGTGGTGCACCGCCGCGTGCGTAAGTGACGCAGCAATCCGCGCGGTCGGCGAATAGGCGGTGCTGCGGGAAAGATGGGGAGAGTCGACAGTGGCAGCTCGTGTGGTGGGGACGGCGAATCATATCGGGGCCGTGCACCGTGATCCCGCCAGGCTCGCAGCCCAGCTCACAGAAGCGCATCCGAAGTGCTGCTGGCTGCAGTCTCTTGTCGCTCTCCTGCAGTCGCTTGCTATTGATACGCCAGAGGCCATACATTCTCGAAGACGGGATCCGACGGCACGTGCAGTCGTCCCATCTGCGTTGCGACGGAAGCCAAGCCGCCCAACCTCAGCAACACCCGTTAAGCGCCCTCTGACGCGCAGCCGCAGTTCCCTTCCTTTGATCGTCCGACAGCCGTTGACAGCGGCCGTTCAGCGCCTCTGCCCGTTCGCAGTCTCATCCCCCACCCGCCCTCGACGCAGGCGAACCGACACAGCTGCACGCCTCGGATCGCCGCAGCGCGCACACTTCCCGCTAGTCCCCGGCCCAGTCCCGGATTTGCGAATACGACGACAATACGCCGACACATGGGATAGAGGGTGAAGGCTGAGAGCTCTGCAGCTGGCGACCGTAGTGCCGCGACTCGAGCAACTGCATTGGGCCGGCAACAGCGTCATGCCCGCGCTGTGCCTCAGTCCAACCGCCGAGCTGCTTCACTGAGAGAGACATGACCATTGATGAGCCTCGACAGCGCTCCTCGTCAAGTCTCTCCAACGCAACTGAACGCGCCAACCGTCGCGGCCCACCGCTGCCGCTATCGCCGAACCGCAACAACCTCCGCGCACTCTCCCCGCCGAACACGCTGCTCACGCCTCTGAGCGGCACGAATCCCCAGTACTTGCTGCTGTCTCCTGGAGGTGCTGCACGCTCCCACAGCCCCCGAAGTCGCGCGCATACCGTAGCCGACGGGAACCTGGTCCAGCGGCAGCACAGCTACGCCCAGCAGTCCGCCATGTCCTTCTACCCTCCCCCTCCCCCGCCGCCCCAGCAGACGTCGAATCCGGGCTCACACATCCGCCTGCCTGGCCCCCCACCGCGGCCTACAACAGCCCAAAACCATGGCGGAATGCCAATGCCCGGCTACTGGAACCCTCCTCCAGGCCAGTACCAGCAGCAGGGCTACAATCCTAGTCTCTATACCTCGTACCCTCTGCCACCTCCACCGTCCATCCGACCGCCCCAGCAACAGCAGCAGCAGCCACGGGAGCCTCTGACTTCAGCCACATATGTTCCGGATGGTGCCAGCTTCGGCCCAGGTAAGCAATGGCTGCGCAGTCCCCACACAAGCTAGCTGACAGATCTTTCTAGGGGTCGGAATCCCTCCTCTGATCAACCCGCGAGAATACGCCGATGCTTCATACTACGACAACAACAACAACAGCAGCAACTATGCGCAGAACACCGAAAATGCCCAGGGCAACTTCTCCAGCATCCTCGACAGCGTGCAGAGCGTCAAGTACGGCACAAATGCAGGCTACCACGCTCCCCCCACACCAAGCCGCACTCACTTGAACATACCCAACAACATATCCACTGGAGACGCCCAAAACCACGACTCGCCAGGCCCGCCTACCGCGACCATGCAAAATACCCTCCCTCCGAGCAGTAGCAGCGTCTACTACCGCAACGACAACAACGGCACCGCGCCCATTTCGCCCAATGATGCTTCTGCGCAATGGCCTGCCGACCGTGTGCAGATATGGCTGGCGAACAACGGCTTCTCGAGAGACTGGCAAGAGACATTCAAGACACTGGGACTAGAGGGGTCGAGATTCTTGGACATTGGACGGGGACATGGCAGCAAGGGCAACGTGGCTATGATGCACCAAGTCATCTTCCCCCAGCTGCATAGACAATGTACTGCAAGCGGAACTGGCTGGGATCAGAACAGAGAAAGAGACGAGGGTCGCAAGTTACGCCGACTGGTGCGCTCCATTGTCGAAACAGGCAGTTCAAGCAATAGCAGGGTCCAGCCACGTTCCGACGCGGCTCTCACTTTGGCCAGTGCCGGCACAGAGGGTGGAGTCGAGAATTCGCCCTACCTGGGCAATAGAATGGATTTTGGGTCCACGCCAACAACAGCTGGGAATGGCGAGGAGAGTCCGGGGAGGCAGTTGCTCGTGCATTCGCCCACCTCCGCTACAAACCTTCCTCGTCGCATATCCGGTCAACGGAACTTCACAGTGCCCACCCTTGGATCGCACCCTGACTTCTCCGAGGGTCCAGCGCGCACAGCATATACCAAAGAAGTACTGCGTGACCTGGAGCCCATGAGCAAACGCCACAGTCCCAGCACCTCGGGCGACCTTGGCTCTAACCCCATGAACATATTACCGGCTATCGACAAGCGAGCCCGCAGCATAGTCCCTGCCTTGCAGAATGCTCGCGTTGCTACAAACGGTCAGCTGAGTGCTGGGCTAAGTGCCTCCGCACCACGATACTATCACAACCGAGGCAACAGCTCGGAATCCAACCTCTCGACGTTTGCGAATACGGGGTCCGGGCCGCCCTCCGGAAGATCGTTTGTCGAAAATCGCTCTGAAAGCCGAAGTGACAACAGGAAGAACGGGATGGATGGCTCACGGCCAGGGACAGGACTGTCTCGCTATGATAGTGTCGATCATCCTACCAGTGCGAAAGAGAAAAACTTCTTTAGCAACATCATCGGGAGAGCAAGGAAGAAGAATCATGAGAGCCATCCTTCACCCGACGATACCAGCCTTGACTCTCCGACCAGTCCTCATGGACACGCACCGAGTAGCTTCTTCCGCAAATCTGGCATGAACTCTAGCGAGACGTCTCTTAACGATCGCCCACCATCTAGGCGCTCTGCTCAGACTGATGCAGACAGCCGAACAGCTGCCCGGGGAAGGTCGAATCAGCATGGGGATCGCAAGTACGCATTCGTCACGCCAGACGGCTGGAATTACCGGCTCGTGGACATCACCAATGTAGACTCGGCCGCTGCCCTACGCTCAACCTGCTGTGAGGAATTGACCCCGGGACTAAGCAAGACGCCTGGTGTTGAGTTACACTTGACAATGCCTGGTCAATGGGAACACGATGATCCACTCAGTGACTCTCGACTCTTGAAAGCTAGATCACAGCAAGGCAATAAAGTTGGCGAACTCAAACTGTTCGTCAAAGTACCACAAGAAGGCACTTTCTCCGCATCTACTGGTCTCGGAGTATCAGTCCCACCGTCCGCAGGCAGGGGGTTTGATAGAGATACGTACGACCGCCTCAACGGTCCGGTACCTGAGTCTCCTGGCATCAAATCAGGCGAGTCTACACTTCTACCCGATAAGAACAACCAGTTGCGCATGGTAGCCGAGAAATCCGACTTTAACCCAGAAGCCGTATCTGATCGGCTCCAACCTACTAGTCGGCCCATGGAGTCATCATGGACCAAGGGTGACGAAATGTCTGAACAAGAGCGCAGGCGATTGCTTGAGATTGCTGCGGAAGAACACCGAAAAGAAAACGATCGCAAGCGAGACGAGTATCTCAAAAGCCGCTTTGGGCACCTCAAAGGTCACAGTCCGGACCCTATGTCTGCGAGTAACGATAGTATCAGCTACCGAAGCGGACGTGAGATTAACTTCGACGAGCCGCGTAGTTCACCGTACGAGGATATCAACCGCTCTTTCGAACAACGTCCTAAGAATAAGCAATTGGTCCCTCTGCGAGAACCTCCACCGGTGCCTGCAGACAGTAGTACGCTTCTCAAGGCCAACTCACTATCGAAGAGCAAAAGCAGGAATTCGTGGCCCGAGGAAGACGAAGACGAAGCAAAGCGTCGCTCGACAGAATCTGATCCCGCCAAGAAGAAGGCGATACCATCAGGTCCAAGCGCAGGCCTCACAAGCATTGCCGCCGCCATTATCGGGGCTGGTACCATTGGAGCAGGTGTGGGTGCAGCAAACAAGGCGCCGCCAAAACCACCACCGAAGGATGACTCAAGGTCTGTGTCACCAGAGAACATGCGGCCTTCACAGAGGATACTGCAGGAGAACGGGTTTGGTGGTTCGGGTAGGCAGAGTCCAGGTGGGTCACCCCGCAGTCCTGGAGACATTACAATGAGCAAAGGCCATGTGCCGTTCAGAATACCTGACTATGAGGAAGATAACCCCGACACTTTGTCGCTTAAACCCAGTCTCAGTTTGGAGATGCCCCTCTTCCCGATTCCGGCTGTTAGCAAACTACAAGAACACATACGATCACCAGAGCTCAGTCCGCAGACGACGCGGGCGCCCCCATCAAGTCTGTCACGTCAAGAATCACGTGTTTCTATCTACGGTCCAACCCACGACTTTGAAGAGGCGCGTGTGTCCTTTGTGACAAAGTCGCCAGCACTTGACCCTGTTGATTCGGATGACGACTCGGATGATGGGTTGTTCGCTAGGCCGCTTGTCTCCCGTGCCCCTCCGACTCCTGCAAAAGACAATCCTCCCCTCACACGTAACAACTCTCGCAGTCAACGGCCCCAATCTCACCCTCAAGACAGCGCCATCGAAAGAATTCGCTCGACAAGTTTGCGCAAAAGTCGGCAGAACCCAGCGCCACTGCCGAGCGCGATTCGCACCCAAGCGACTTCAATCCTACGTCTGCTGCCTCAGCAACTACGACTGATGATGAGGCGAACAGGTTCTCGCTACGACGCGAGTCGTTTGCTAGTGATGTCTGGGCGAATCGTCCCCCAGCAGAAGCCCTGGTGGAACACCTCGACGAATTCTTCCCCAACGTCAATCTCGACCAGCCGATGCTGGAGGAAGAAGACGGAGATGCCTCAGCAGAGGCAAAAACAATACCGGCTGTTGAAGAGACTGGTACGTTGAATGCAGGGCTCACTCGTGGCAAGGCTGGTATGCAATCCATTGCTCAGCGCAACATGAGGAAGTCTGGTGTTGGTCTCGGCCGCACAAAGTCCATTCGTGAAGTGGTCAAGTCGCAATACGAGCCCTTCAACAAGAACCAGCTGCCAGGTCGTTCGACCCCTAGTGCATCCGGCCCATCACGTGTAGCTACTCTGCGCAATGGCGGTGATATCGTGCGTCGCAAGTCCACGAAGATGTTTGGTGCCAGCATCGAACAAGTCAAACCCCCTCGCGGCTCGCGACTTATTCAACTCTCGACAATCCCACAAGACCACCTTCCGGCTCTCCCGTCACGCCAGCCCACGTTCAAATGGATGAAGGGTCAACTGATCGGTAAGGGTACATTCGGTCGCGTCCAACGTGCGTATGAACATCACAACCGGTGAGCTCATCGCCGGAA